TGGTCCCGCTACCCCTGGGGGTCAGGACTCGCTGCTCTCACTGTCATTGATTGAGTGGGGCCGTCTCCAAATGGCGGACAGCTCCCTGCTGGCATTGCGCCGCAAGACGGGGGGTTCCGAAGGTAACCACGACCGAACTGGCTCCTACGAGCTTAAGCAAGGCCTATTGATGAGATGGGACAGTTTGTCCCGGCGGCATGCGATTGTGGTGCCTGCTGCTGTGAGGGGGAAGGTTGTCTTGGCCGCACACGAACACCTCTTGCATTTGGGAGTTAACAAAACGCTTGCCCTGCTTCAGCGTGACTATTATTGGCCGGGAATGGGGGGTGACGTGGTGAATATTCTGAAGGGTTGTGTTGAGTGCGCCAGACGGAAACCACCGCCTGTGGCAGCTAATCCACCGCTGCAATCCATCCAGGTCTCGCGCACTAACGAGCTCGTTGCACTCGATATTCTGGGGCCTTTTCCGGTCACGCCTAGGGGTAATAAGTACCTGTTGGTGGGGGTCGAATATTTTACCCGGTGGCCTATGGCGTGGCCACTCGCCAACCAGTCGGCGGCGGCTGTGACGGACGCCTTTGTCCAGGGCTACGTCCTGGACAAGGGGGCTCCCGAACGCTTGCTGACTGACCAAGGGAAACATTTTTCGAGTAAATTACTGGAAGAGGTGTGCGACCTGTTGGGTACCAAGAAGGTGCGTACCTCCCCGTACCACCCACAGACGGACGGGATGGTGGAGAGGCTTAACAGGACATTGACTTCTATGTTGTGCCAGCAGGTGTGTGAGGCACATGTTGATTGGGACCTGCAGGTCCCTGGGGTCCTCGCCGCGTATAGAATGGCCCCCCATGCAGCTACGGGATTTTCCCCGTTTTATCTGATGTACGGTCGGGAAGCCGACCCGCCCATGGAAACGCAGCTGGGTCTGTCCGCACCACGAGCAAATTCGAAATTGGCAGAGCATATTAAATTTAATATTCATAAGCTGACAGAGGCAAGGGAGGCCGCACGGCTTAATTCACGGGCTCGCCAAATTGCAAACGAGCGGTTGCGGGCACGGAAGGTGTCCGTGCACAATTGGGAACCAGGTGACAGGGCCTGGCTGCATTGCCCGCAGGCACCTTTGGCTACGTCGCCTAAATTGTTGAAGCCGTGGCGGGGACCCGTGGAGGTCGTGCGGGTTGCACGCCCCCAGTGCGTTCAGATAAAATGGGGAAAACGCCGTTGGTACGTCCACCCCTCCCGACTGAAACCGTTCTCGCCTCCGTATGGCCTCCCCTTGCGTCATGAGGGCCGAGCATGTGACGTGACCAGCGACCCTGAGGGGGAATTGTCTTTGCCTGCTCCTCACATGTCTCCGCCTGATCCGCTCCCAGGTGTCTCGGAACTGACAGCTGCCGACCACCGGCGGCCGGATCTTGAGCGGCCGGAGCCACCGGACGGTCGCCAACGTCCCGTCCCATACGACGGACCGGCCAGACGGACTCGCGCTAGGTCGCGCTACTTTGTGTGACCTGCCACGTGAGGAGTCGAGGCAGCCGGAGCGCCTCGGCACTGCGTTTAGTCACAGAGACACTTGGCGCGTTCGGTTTCCTGTGTTCGCTTTTATTGTGTTCGTTTTCCGGTGTTCGCTTTTATTGTGTTGTTCGTCGGGCTGTATATTGCTTCATATTTAAGTGTTGTGTTGTGTTGTTGTTGTTGCGTTACGGGGCACACTGACAGGTGGAGTTTCTTTGTTACTGCATTGACGTTAGGTTGTGTTGTTGGTTAACAGCCGGGCCGGCTGCAAGCTATGTGGGAGGGGGTGATGTAGAGGTGATACGCGCTGGAATTAGAGATCGTATGCCAGCGCGTAATGATTGGCTGTGTAGGTGGTGACGTGCGCTGACGGTGGAGGATCAGGGGTCAGCGCGGGGTCGTGGGTTACGGGGTACTGATTGGCTGTGGACCGGTGACGTGCTGAGAGGGAGTGATCGGGTGGCAGCGCGGTGTGATTGGTGGAGGAGTGTTAACACGCGCTGGGGAAAACGGATCGTAGAGAGAGTGCGTCGTGATTGGTTCATTAAGGAGCGATGCTCACGTTGAAGTACGCATCAGCTCCGCCTCTCGTGAGCAGGGGCTATAAAAGGGGATGCACACAGGCGTGAGGGCAGTGTGTAACCAGCGAAGAATGAAGACGGGGATGAAGACCTAGGGCCCTGCGGTACCTAGTCCCGCTGTCCTAACGGGACCGGGACTCTGTGTAGCCAGAGGCGAGTGTAGTGTGTGTAGCCATAGGCATAAGGTCTACACGAGCCGAATGCAGTGTGTGTAGCCAGGGACATAGGGTCTACACGAGTCGAGTGTATTGTGTAGCCAGAGGCGTAGGGTCTACACGAGTCGAGTGTATTGTGTAGCCAGGGACATAGGGTCTACACGAGTCGAGTGTATTGTGTAGCCAGAGGCGTAGGGTCTACACGAGTGAAGGGTATCGTGTGTAGCCAGAGGCCTAGAGTTTACACGAGAGTAGTGGAGTGTGAAGTCGGAAGAAAGGAGACTACACGTTGTATTTTGACACGTAAAGATTTAATAAAAAGTGTGTTCCCGTCAAGAAGTTCCTGCCGTCAATTCCCATACTTCACATAGAACCAGGTTCTTATTTGAGGCTGATTTAACCTAGGGGAGGACCCAGACCGGTTCAGATAATCGTCACTGGTGTTGGCCGTGAGCGGTAGTCGAGTTCGGTCGCCGGTTTCGTAACGCAGCGTAGCGCTAACCTTAGCACGACTGCTTCCCACTCATGGACAAAAAACACACCCCGCTTTGGATCATCATCAGTAAAGTATTGAATACTTAAACGACTATTTATTTTCTGGGAATATTTTTTTGTAACGGTTTTTTTTCATGTTTACTTAAATGATGTATTTTTTCGTTTATTTGGCACGCATCACGGTACTTATTTAAATTGTGATGTTGCCTATTGTTGGATGCCGTGTACCTAACGTCGTTATTTAGGGTAAGGCATTGAATATCGCGGGTTTGCCTATCGTGGCACTTTCCAAGGACGTAACCCCCCCCCCCCCCCCCCCGATATCCAAGGGTCTCCTCTACTGTGGAGAAACGATCCACGAGTCGAATTTCCTGGATGACTGCTAGCTGGGCACATCTCCACCCCAACAATAACTCGATTGTTAGTGGCTGCTGCGGGTCTTTGCCATCGAAACTAGCTGGGTAACTGGCTCCACGGGATTTTCTGTGTAACATATGAATGTTATTTTTTTACTACGTGACTTTACCGAAAGAACCTAAGAATATGAATCCTTGCAGTCACGAAAGCTTCAAATCTAGGAATATAAATGTTGAACTGATTTGCAGAAGAGATATGCTCGAACTAAAAAATTCCTCAATTTTTTTAATCTGCGCTCCTATAACCGCAATTTTTTCGCCAGAATATCCTTTAAATGCTCACAATCCATATTATCTTGGCATATCATTACGTAAAAGCATATTAGTGCTCTAACTCCAAGATTGAGAGTAGAGCATGAAAATAACATCTGTCTCTTATTTTAGTGCCAGAACAAGTACATATATAACCTGTTTTCGTTCTATGCATGTGTGTATATGCATGCAGGAATAGCAGCATAATGACTTTAAACCCCTCGCCAAACCTCCTACGCATTTCACAAGTAGTGCTAATCGCATATCTGCATTTCCCATAAATATGCTAAATTCCTCTTGACATGCAAATTATTTTGTCAAGATCCTCTTCGCCCCTCCATCCCAGCAGCATAAATAGTCGCTCCAAGCCTGGAGCGTGCCATTCAGACTCTGTCTACTTGACGGACCTGTTCTCCACCTGAGTACGGCTGCCTTCGTTGTGGCCGAAACGTCGTGAGAATTATTTTATTATGTTTTTTTTTAATTATTTTATTACTTCCCTTCTACGTGACTTTACCGAAAGAACCAAGAAGATGAATCCCTGCAGTCACGAAAGCTTTAAATCGAAAAGTAAAATATATTCTTACGTTTGCATCACATGAGATGCAAAGTGTGAAATCACAGCCACCGAATAAGCCCAAGGATACTCTTTGGTTCATTCGGTAAAGTCACGTAGGTATAAAATTAAATAAATCACGACGTTTCGGGCGCAACACAAGCGTCCGAAACGTCGGGATTTCTTTTATTTTATAACTACGTGACTTTCCCGAAAGAACCAAGAGTATGGATTCCTGCAGTCACGAAAGCTTCAAATCTATATTGATGCCCAAGGATATTCGAACCACTCCTCTGAGCCTTCCCTCTAGGTCAGGCATGGTGCAAATATAACTGATGGCTGTCCACCTTAATAGGTGCTCGCTAAGCAGTACTTGACCATGCGGACAGATAGTCAATGTACACGGTGGTTCCGATTGTCTTTCGACCCCCCTCCCCATTTAAACACATTCCTGCGGAGGGAGCTGGTAGGAACGTTGGGTTGCTCGGTCAATGGCCAGGGTCAACGGCGGCGTGGTGTATTCCGCAAATATTTCCGACTGTGAGGGCGGGCACAAGCCAGCGTGAGTAGGTTAAACTTTGAGTTTTATAAGGGCACCACGGGGTGACCAGCCCCTCCCCACCCAGCCCCACCCCTCCCACCCCCCACCCAGCCCCACCCTCCCCACCCAGCCCCTCCCCACCCGCCCCACCCTCCCCTCCCCACCCAGCCCCACCCTCCCCACCCAGCCCCTCCCTGTACGACAGATGGACGGACAGAATAATCCCCTGTGGGCTGGTGTAACCATGAGGTTCCTACCAGTATTATCTAAGAATATTTTTTTAAAGTAAGGTTTCATTTAAAACATATATGAATATGCAAAAAGGTAAAAGAAAAAAATGTAGGGTTAAATTCATTGAAGGAAGTCACAAGACATCCGGACCATCTTGTAAGTTGAATCACCGAGGGCCATGGATCTTTGTGTTGTGTGTGTGGTGTCTGTGTGTGGTGTCTGTGTGTGGTGTCTGTGTGTGGTGTCTCTATGTAGTGTCTGTGTGTAGGTTTTCGCTATGGAATTCCAGGTGCAGTACCCCGTGATCCAGCAGCAGTCCGAGCTGCAAAAGACCCACGCGGTGCAGAAGATGCAGTGGTCTACCGGCATATGCGACTGCTGTAGCGACATGAATGTTTGTAAGCACTGGCCGAGAGTGAGGTGGAAGGTGGGGGTGCACGGTGGGGGGGGGGGGGGCACGGGTGGTGGGGTGGTACAGGCAGGGAAGGTATGATGGGGGGGGGGCTCTCCCCCTAAGGGAAGCAAGCCGTGAGCTGTGCCCCCCACCCCTCTCAAAGGCCATCAATGTAGCAATGTCCCTTCTTCTACTGGCTCCTTATCCCCACCAAACTTGAACCATGGAAAAGAACTTCGGTAGTGGCGAGCTGACTGAAACCCACCGCTCCAGGCCCACAAGCAACACAATACAAATATCGCCCCCTCCGCCACCTGTAAGCCTCTAACAGGATGCTGTTGTTGTTGTGCGCAATTATTGTTTACGAGCAAAACCTATGAAGGCCGGCACAGCATACTAAACAATTAACTTCTTTTTTTGACTAGGAAAGGCCCACTGAGCTCGATAGCTCTTTTTCAGAAGCGATCTGGTCATCACAAATTAAAGCACAAAGAAGTGGCTTATAGCGTGGAAATATAGACCAGCCAAAAGCTCTAAACGCGTGATGTTGATTCTAAATGTGGAGGGGAAAATCTGAGAACCCGTAGAAAAATCCACATGACCACGGGGGGGAGAGACACAAACGCCAAATATACAGCAGCAGCAGGCATCGTCAGGGTCGGGATCGAACTGACGACCTCCTGTAGACCAGGCGAGGTAGTCAACATCTACCACGACCTCCTGTATACCAGGCGAGGTAGTCAACATCTATCACGACCTCCTGTAGACCAAGCGAGGTAGTCAACATCTACCACGACCTCCTGTAGACCAGGCGAGGTAGTCAACATCTACCACGACCTCCTGTAGACCAGGCGAGGTAGTCAACATCTCTGAGCCACCGTTGCGCCCTTAACATCTCGCCGCATAATAAGGGGGGGGGGGGGTGGCAACACCACGCCTGGTCACCCGATGTCTCTCTACCATGCCGATGTTTACACAGCGTACGTACCAGGTACGAAGGATTTTAAGGCCGTCGTCATTATAGGGACGGTCCAGAACCGCTTCAAATTTTCCCTGACACTGTTTATTGGCCGTGAGCGGGATATCAAACCTCGGGTTCGTAGCGCAGCGCTTACGCCACCGCTGCCCATACACACACACATAGACGACGCTGCCCTCGTATCGCCTCTAAAGACTGTTGGGGCAAGTGTTGTTAGCGAGTAGAAACCATGAAAGCCGGCACGGTACACGAGGGGATGGTAAGCACCATGCATGTAAGGTTTGATAGGGGGGGGGGCGATGTTTACACACAGGCACCAGGTAGTCATATGAGGAGGGTGAATCGACCTAACAAACATGCCCTGAAACGCACACAAAAACACACAAAGCGCTTCGAGTCACATTCTAATCCCATGTTTTCAGGCAACAGCAGCAATAAAGTACCCCCTCGTGTTCCGTGCCAGTCGTCACTGCTCGTGTCACTGGGCCAATTGATATCAATACATTACCTACCTCTCACGCAAGTAAGTCGTCTCGCACACAGTCGCACCCTTTTTTTCCCCGACCTTCACTCACGGGGCAAATAAATATTAGGGCATTCATCGATTGATAAGCCGGTTTTCCCCCACCAAAATAATTTAGAGGAAAATACAATTAATAATACAATTAATAATACAATTGAAAATACAATTAAGAACACATTCCTGCGGAGGGAGCTGGTAGGAACTTTGGGTTGCTCGGTCAATTGCCAGGGTCAACGGCGGCGGGGTGTATTCCGCAACTATGCCCGACTGTGAGGGCGGGCACAAGCCGGCGTAAGGTTAAACGTTGAGTTTTATAAGGGCACCACGGGGTGACCAGCCCCTCCCCACCCAGCCCCATCACTCCCACCTTCCACTCAGCCCCACCCTCCCCACCCAGGCCCTCCCCACCCTCCCCACCCATCGCCTCCCCACCCAGCCCCTCCTCACCCTCCCCTCCCCACCCAGCCCCTCGCTCCCCACCCAGCCCCTATCTGCACGACGGGCACAATAATCCCCTGTGGGCTGGTGTAACCAGGAGGTTCCTACCAGTAATAGCCTACCGTACATTTGTAATGCGCAGCAGAAGATTCACTCAACAACTCAGCCACGCAGTGGTGAGCCGTGGCTACCAACAATGTCCCAAACTCTGCGGTCCCCTATCTATGTTAAGATGTTTTCCAGACAATTTAAGTGTTTACACGTGGGAAGATATTGGAGTACCCTGAGAAGATCCACACAGACAGGGCAGGTTGTGGAGTGCACGTGTTTAGTCTGTTGTCCTTCCCCTGCACCTCGGATTGGCACAGTTGGATATGTACGGTGCGAAAGAAATTCAACATAGAGGAGTCTCTCGATGATTCGCACGAATGACTGGGAGGACGGCCGCGGATAATTCAAAATCGCAGATAATCCAAAAATATACATTTTCTGCGGATCTCTATGACGAGAAAGTTGAGTTCGGTTTAAGCACGTGACTTGTAATACATATTTCCATGAATAACGATGTATAATTGTTTTTAGACTATTAATTTAGGCTTAAGGGAAAATGCATGAGTCATGAATTTATGTTAAAGTCTCAGGTGCGCAATCCGCAAATCGGCTAAAGTGCACGTGGATCATCGAGAGCCTGCTGTATAGTAGACATTATTATAGACATACTGCGCTCCTCTGGTGAGCTACGGGAAGGGAGTTGTGCAACATCTGGGTTTGATCCACCAACCCCGCTGCCTCCGCAGTGCTGAAGCCAAACTTCTGTAGTAAGTAGAGGAGGAGACGATGTCGAAGTTGAGGCACACTCTGTTTATTAACTTCGGGACAGGTACAATAGTTGAAGGGGTATCGGCCCCTTCACCCGTACTATGGGAAACCCACCCTAGTACTAAGCCCTCTGCCCTGTCCCCCCAGTCCTCCTCTACTGGGCTACGGGAGGCTGACTGATCTGGCCCTGGCAAGCACAGATCTCGGCACCAGCTAACCAGCCTCGCCCTGATTCCGATTCCAAAGAACACAGGATGAGATGTTATTATCCTTTGTGCAAGCACTTCCAAGAGTTCATGAACAGTGAGCCTGGTGAAATTTGGGGAGCGCATCGTCAGTAGTGAACCTTTGGGTCCTAGGGTGTTTCGGCCTTTCATACTATACACCCTCCCCAAAGGCGGCCAGCGACAGGGTGATCAATCCTACGCTTGCGTCCCATTCCCAATTAGTCATAGGAGTTGCCTTGTTGTTGGTAGCCAACATCCCATGGGACTATGCATGGCAGGGGCGTCCTCCTCCCTGAGTCAAGCATTGTTGACTGCATACCTCCTGGCCCTCTCACTTTGGGGCCCAGCTGGGGTCTTTCCTCTTCATCCAGAGCCACTGACTGCTGCCTTCTGCCGCCTCCGATACAGCTTTGATTGCCGAACGCTGGCTCTGGCCCTTAATTCCCAGGTCTCTAAGCAGTCTGGTTGTAGATGTTGCCACAAAACCTCTGCAGCCCACCTCCACTGGTCGGACTTCTGTGTTCCAGCCATGATGCCGTGCTTCGGCAGCTAGATCGGCATAGCGCAGATGTTTTCGCTCATAAGCCTCATCTACTGAGTCCTCCCAGGGTACTGTGAGCTCAATGATGAAGACCTTCTTGAGCGAACGGGACCAGAGCACCATGTCAGGTCTTAGGGTGGTGGTTGCGATCTCCGGAGGAAACACAAGTTGCCGGCCAATGTCAGCTAGCATTTTCCAGTCGCGGGCCAAGCGCAGCTGGTCTCGCTCTATTGGTGTAGAGCCGCTCTTCGGTGGTTTAGCCCCTTCGCGGACAAAGGTCGTCCGTAAGGGGTGTGATGCTGCTGGGGGTGGTAGGGAGTTGGTGGCAGCTCGCTTGTCCTCCAGGGCGGACGCAAGGTTTTTTAGGACTTGGTTGTGACGCCAAGTGTAGCGTCCTTGGGTGAGGCTTGTTTTACACCCTGTAAGAATGTGCCTGAGGTTGGCTGGCATGGAACAGAGGGCACAGTCCGGATCTTCACCATACCATTGGTGAAGATTAACTGGTGTTGGAAGGATGTCATATGTTGCTCTGATGGAAAAGCTCAACCGCCTCGCTTCCATGGCCCACAGATCCTTCCAGCTGATCTTCCTCTTCTCCACACTGTCCCATCGAGTCCACTGTCCTTGTTTGGCAAGAGAGACTGCCTTGGCCCACCTTGCAGCCTCCTCCTGATGGCGTACTTCCTGCACTACCATCTTCCGCCGCTCTGGTGCAGTGGCCTTACTCCAAGCAGCATGGCTAGTTAGCCCAAGGCCTCCTCTCCCTTGCTGAACATGACCCACAATGTCAGCATGTCTGAGGGCTGCTGTTGCCTCCTGGACTGCTTTTCCTGGCCTCCATTTGCGCCCAGTTGCCAAGGTCGGCGCGTTGTTGCTCACCACTGGGTCTCGAGATTCATTCAGTGTCATCTGGAGCCTGGTTTTTGCACACTTGAATTCCTCGGTTAGACTGGTGAGGGGCAGCTTGAGGACACCATCTCCATAGAGGCCTATGGTGGTAAGGCATCGTGGAACTCCGAGCCACTTCTTTAAGTAGCTCGTGGCTCCTCTTTCCATCTTCTCCACTGTTGAGATTGGAACCTCATACACTGCTAGGGGCCACAACACCCGGGGTAGGAGACCAAACTGCAGACACCAGGCCTTTAACTTTCCAGGTAGCTGGGTGTTGTCGATGGACTGTAGGCTACTACTGATGTCTTTGCGCAGCTGTTGCACCTGGTCTTTGTCCTTCAGGCTTGCATCATACCACCTTCCAAGGCTTTTTACCGGCTGCTCAGACACTGTTGGGATTTGGTCATCTCCGATGAAGAATTTCAGGTCACAGAGTACTCCCTTCACAATCGAGATGCTGCGTGACTTGGATGGTTTAATCTTCATACGGGCCCAGCTGATGTTCTCCTCGAGTTTTCTGAGCAGTCTCCTGGTGCATGGGACAGTGGTGGTCAATGTTGTAATGTCGTCCATGTAGGCTCTGAGT